GAGTCTTGGTGGAGTGTTGACATTAGCCAGAGTGAGGGGGAAAAGTTTGACCTTCTCAACACTGGTGGGCTGTAACACCTCCTGGCAGAGGATAAAAGTGGGTGCCTCAAGGCATCCATGTACAAAACAGCAATGTGCTGCATGTCACAGGCAGCCTTTTGCTTTCTGTGGCTGGCTTGTTCTAGGAAAAGGCTAACTAGATCTTTGATTGGGTACTAAGTTCCAGAAGAATTGATCCAAATCAGATAAAATGAAGACTCAGAGACACTATCCCAAATATTGCTTTTTTTTTTTTTACTATGACCATTCTGCAGCTTACTGTGCACTGTCTACCCATTTTAAGAATTCCTAACACAGCTGAGCCAAACTACATCTGACAGTCTTCATTAATTTTTAGCTTATTCTCAAGGTGAATTATCTAAAAGTAAGAAAGATTTTAAATGATCATTTTCTTAACTGCTGCTATGTTGATATCTTCCCAGTTGAGTTTCATACTTTAAATTTTTACGGGATTTCACAGGCTGCTTTGCTTTGAAAATACTGTTTTCAGGGAAGATGTAACTTAACAGTGGAGAGCTTGAGTAGCATGTGCAAGGCCTGAGATTTGACTCCCAGTCTCCCTGCCCTCCAGGCTCCCCATGGTTTATGTTTAATTACATTTTCCTTTTTAAAAATGACTTATTTGTATTTTGTGTGCATTTGCCTGCATGTATGTCTGTGGGAGGATGTCAGATCCCCTGGAGCTGGAGTTACAGACAGTTGTGAGCTGCCATATGGGTGCAGGGAATTGAATCTGGGTCCTCTAGAAGAGCAGCCAATGCTCTTAATGATCTCTCTTAACAGAGAGATCCATCTCTCCAGCCCCTAATTACACTTTCAAAAAAGTTAAAATGTGTGAAGTGTATGCTTCCTATAAGCTATTTTATTTATCTACTTACCTGCTTAAGAATAGGTCATGTGATGTAGTTCCAGAAAGATCCTCTGGCCTCTGCTTCAAAAGTGTGGGGACTGGCCTTGCCTATGTTAGGCAAGTGCTCTACCACCTGGCACACCCCTGCTCCTGGTCCCTAACCTCAGGTACTGACAAAGAAGGCACTTATGTTCACATTCTGACATGAGACTAACATATGTGTTAAAACAAATTTGTGTAAAATACATTTAATCATGTAATAATACAATTAGAAATAATGGATATTGTAGACAAATTTCTAAACAGTCTTATTAAATAAGAAACACAGAGCCAAACACAGGGGTAATAGCTGAAGAGATTAGAGAAATGGCGAATAGCCACGACTAGCCTTAGCTTACCACCATGCCATAGCTTTCCCAGATAGAGCTTCTTCCTGTCTAACCTGCACTTTTATTGCCTTTCTGTTCTGCCTTCTCATTGGCTCTAAGCCCAGCCACATCACTTCCTCATCATTGCCTGTCTAGGCAGACCTCCAGGCCTCTATGGTTGGTACTGGGATTAAAGGTGTGTGTCACCATGCTTGGCTGTGTCCTTGACCACACAGAGACTCTGCCTGCCATGTGATCAGATTAAGGGCATGTGCTACCACTGCCTGACTTCTGTTTATGGCTTCGCTATGACCTCTGATCTCCAGGCAAACTTTATTAACATACAAATAAAATCACATATCAGCACAAATAAAATATCACCACAGGATATCAATGTCACAAGAGAAAGAGAAAGCTTGGGGGGTTATTCTAAATCAAAGGATATTTTCAGAGTAGATCCAATAATCTACCCTCTATTCGTTTTTTTTTTTAAGATTTATTTATTTATATATTTTGTGCATATGAGTGTTCTATTTACATGTATGTTTGCATTACAGAAGAGGGCATCAGATCCCATTATAGATGGTTGTGAGCCACCATGTGGGTGCTGGGAATTGAACTCAGGACCTTTGGAAGAGCAGCCAGTGCTCTTAACCGCCGAGCCATCTCTCCAGCCCCTTCAACAAAGACATAACAATAACAAAATGCTGGAAGAACAAGTGTGCACTACTATGCTTAGCAGGGTAAATCTTCCTTAAAAGACATGATTTCCAATAGGGACAAAGGGATTGGATGAGCTCTGTTATTTCTAAAAATGATGTTTAATATTTTAAACACTATTTGTAAACCACAGGAATGTGGAAGGAAGGAAGGAGCAGTGGAAGGAACTAAGGCATGCATGCAAGCAAGGACACCTCAGAGGCTAAGAACACTTGCTATTCTTGCAAAGGACCTGGGTTCAGTTCCCAGCAACCACACAGGGCTCAGAAAACTCAGTAACTTCAATTCTACAGTATCCAGTGCCCTCTTCCGGCCACCATGCACCAGGTCCACACATAGTGCACACACATACATGTAGACAAAACACTCATACACATTAAATAGAAATACGTAAATCCTTAAAAAAGAAAGGAACAAAGGAAGGTTCGCTGAGATGGCTAGGCCCTCCCATTCCTTAGCTTGTATAGCTCTAAGAATCTGACAAAGGTCACAGGTCACTGTTGGACTTGGATGTACACAATGATGGACATGCTCTACACTGGCATCCTTTAGTAAATAAACATACAGGGCTACCAGTCACATGGCTAGATTGATTAAAGAGACCTAATTTAAATAGCCCCACATTGCTAGTGGCTGCTACATGAACTGGCCCAGCCACAGACACTTCTATTTCAGAGAAACTTAGAAGCTTATGTAATTATTTTTTTCAGAATTACATTTATTTATTTACTGTGTGTGCATGTGTGTGTGCTTGTGCCATGGTGCTCATGTGGAGGCTAGAGGACAGCTTTTTTGAGTCGGCTCTCTCCTTTCACCATGTGACTTCTAGGGACCCAACTCAGACGTCAGACTTGGAAGCAAGTGCTTTTCCTCCTTGAGCCATCTTGCCGGCCCAACATGATGGTTTTTTAGCTTTAAAAAGCACCAAAGCAAAGCAAATAAATGCAAACCCCCTAGTCTTTGTACTTTCACTCCTGTACCTGAGATCTGTCATTTTTTTGATGGCTTCCTGTACTCCAGATGCTATCCTAAGCCTCACATTTAGGCTAGCTTTTCAAATCTGCACTCTTATATAGTAAGAAACTGAGGAACAGAGAGACAATCTTAGGTTATCAAGATCACACAACAAACTCCTTTAGGGCAAGGTTGTCTGACTTCAGTGTTCATAATCTTTTTTTGTTTTGTTATTTGGGTCTTTGGTTTTTTGAGACAGGGTCTCTGTGTAGCCCTGGCTGTCCTGGAACTTACTCTGCAGATTTCACTGGTTAGGAACTCAGAGATCCACTTGTCTCTGCCTCCCTAGTACTAGCATTAAAAGCCTGTGCCACCACCACCACCCAGCTTACTGTTCATACTTTTTTTTTCAGTGTTCATACTCTCAATCATAATGTTACAATGTTTTTTGTGAAGTTAGTATTTTCTGTAAAGACTTATAAAAACTTAGGAAGATAAAGTACATGTTATCAAAGCTATAAAAGTTAACGTCTGAACTAATGCCTGTAAATGGTTTTAATTTCAGTTAACAAAAATGTTCATAAAGCTGCAAAAATAAAATAATAAAAAAATAGGATAAAATTCTACCCACAACAAACACATGTACCGCAGCATAATTTCCCAATGACATCAACTTGTTAATTAGTAATATTTGGGTTTTTGATAAAGACAAAAAAAGGTAACTGGTCATACATTGTTTTAAAAAAAACTTCCCCCGGTAAACAATTTTCAATCTGAAAATATTTTAGTTACAAGTTGTCAATTCTCACCAAATGACTTTTCTAAGTGACTGTTTCAAATAATTTTTGATTAAGCTTTCCTGTTAGATTAAGGAATGCAGAAAATAAGTTTAATAAGATTTCAGTTTCCTAGCCAGGTGGTAGTAGTGCATCCCTTTAATCTCAGCACTCAGGAGGCAGAGGCAGGTGGATCTCTGTGAGTTAGAGGCCAGCCTGGTCTACAAAGCAAGTTCCAGGACAGCTAGGGCTACACAGAGAGACCTCGTCTCAAAAAACAAAAACAAAAAAAAATTTTTTTTTCAGTTTCCTAAGTACAGGGTAGTTAATCACAAGAGTTGTAAGGGCCTAACTCTAGACCATGTTGGGACTCTGGATTTGGTGGTAAATACTATTGCCTCAGCTAGAGTGTTGCATCTCGGGGAAGAAGCAGTGAGTGGCAGTGCTGGCAGTGCTGGCAGTGCCTGGGAAAGAACAAAACTGGACAGGATCTCACTGTAAAGTCCCAAACAGTCTGGGGAGAACAGGCTTTAGGGAACAGGCTTTGTGGGTATAGCCACAGTCCTCATTTCTACTCCTGCTTCTCAGTCATGTAAGAGGGTCAGAACAATAATAGCAAAGTGGCGAATGGAATTGCTACAGCCTCGTATAAAGGACGCATGGAAAGGGCTGTGTGTGTAGCTCGAGGCTCAGAGAGAGAATGCTTGTAGAGTATGCATAAGTCTCTGGGTTTAATCCTTACTGAGGAGGAAAAATTAAGCCAAGTGGAGTAGTGTAATCCAGTACTTGGGAAGCTGAGGAAGGAGAACTGCTGTGGGTTCGAGGTCAGCCTGATATACATGACAAGACTCTATCTCAAACCCTCCCCCACTCCTCCCCAGAATCCCTGGGCTGAGTGAGCCGCTCCTTCAATGAGGGTTGGAGCTGAGTAGGCCCTAGAAGCTGGTTGTTCACAGAGGTGGTACTTAGTGTACTGCCAGGTTTCCAACAGGAAGCCAAGGACACAGGTAATCAGACTCAGATCAGAACATACATTTCAAAATGTAGTCAGAGGGGGCACTCAGGGTGACCCTGAGCCAAGCAGGTCCCACCAGCTCAGTGGTACTGAAAAGACAGACAAGATCTTCCTGGGTATTTAGGAGCATGAGAGCACACAGCGGGTACTAAACCACAGCACGCCCTCCCTCACCAGTTCACTCTCCTCCCAGGCAGATTCACAGTGAGCCAAAGCAGACAAAACACATCAGGGCACCAAAGGAATAACTCATTGGATGTTTTACGTATTTACTTTAGGTAGTAAAGGCTTTTATTGTTCTGAGGCCTGATTACAAGTTACATGATCAAGAACAACTGAAAAAGGAGATTCAGGAGCATGTGAAAAAGACTACAGCGCCATACAAATACCCCAGAAAGGTAGGCATCTCTGGCACAACTGTATCTGGTCAGTGCTTTAGAAATTTTTCAACTGTTTGTTTTTTCCCTTTTAAATGACCCTTAAATATGCTTCACAAGAGGTTCCAAATAGAACTAATGATAATAGAGAATCAAAATTTTTGAGGTTAAACTGAAGCCCCTAATATAATTCAATTAGCTCATAATACTGTGTATATATATGTAAAGAAAATCTTCAACCATCCTTTCACCTAGAAGCCAAAAGAGCTATTAAATAATTGGCATCAACTAAAGCGTCCAAGCGCTGGACTAACTTCCTCCCTCCCCTTAATGCTAACAGGTAGAATTTATTGAAGAGCTGCCAAAGACTGTCAGTGGGAAGGTCAAAAGAAATGAACTGAGGAAAAAAGAATGGAAAACCATTTAAACCTATCCACTAATCATCCGCATATCTATAAACAAACGAAGTGTCTACAAGTCTACAGGAACCACCGGTTATATGGGTAGATTGCTTCTAAATTGAATTTAAAGTATTTTGAAGTAATGACACCAGAGACTGAATTCTGAAATTAAACATTCAATCCTTATGCTTTCATGTAAATGTTCCTGTAATTTGGCAAAATGAATGTCATCAGTTGCTGAGATGTTTTAAAATTTATTTTAGGAGCAGTTTCTAAAGCAAATCTCTGCCTCACTGGTTTTCAAAACTTAACTGAATAATTCTAATATGTTAATATACAAATCAGAACAAATCTTCAAGCTTTGAAAAAACTAAGTGACTTGTTTTTAGAAAATTGTCATAATTCTTAGAATATTTACCTGAAATTTGAATAAGGGTTTTATTAGTCCTATTTTTATTCAAGTAATTTGAAAGTAGTTTGAAATTTGCTTCAAGTTCTATCTATAAGAGACAGCTGTCACGCACTATGGCTACTTAGTAAATTTAACCTAATAAATGGTTTATAAAAAAAGTATTTTTTCCTTGTGGTTCATGATAGTTTGATAAATTCAGCAAATGTTAATATATGAAATATAGTTATGTGACATAATCCAAATACACATGCTAGGGAATTTAAGGTACAAGGATTCCGACAGGAACAGACAACAGACAGTTGATAGACAACTTCTGGGCAAGAGTGGAAGTCATGCAATCTGCTTCCTTCCGTCAGTGTGAACTGCCTCAGTGTGGCTATAGCTCCAGGTATGCTGAGACCTCGGAACTCAAACCTGACACTTTGATCTTTCCTGTGTAAAAGTCACATAAAGCTTATACTGAAGTAAAAGACAATTTAGGAGAGAGTTTATCAATTTCTCATTGACGGTCTGAGTCGTAAAGGATTTTTAACAGGAAAACTTAAATTTCTGTCACGAATATGGCTTGTTTCTGGAGAGCTGAAAGCGAGTCCTTCTGAGGAACGAGATAGAGCTTTGCTATTGCCTCTTTCCTTTTGAAGTGTTTGTTCCCATTTAAAATAACCGCAGCATTTTCTGTCTTCTTGGTATTTCCCAACAGGGCAACAGTAGAAGGCTTTCCCATGGTTTGGCCCGTTATTAGAAACAATAAGCCGCTTAGATCTTCTGCCACACTTGCATAAGGGAGGTGTCATCTTCCCACTCTCCCAAGGCTCTTGTAGATTAACTGTGGATGTTGATATGGAGGAAAGAACTTTTCGGGAAGAGGCTCCTGGGGAGCAAGTAGATGATGCAGGCTTTTCTTCATGAATACTGAAGGTCTGCTTTTTCGCTCGTGGGAAAGGTAGGGGACTAGGTGAATTCCTTTTAGTACCACCTAAGGGAAGAGGTTGTTTCCTCAAAGCTGAAGGATGCGATGCATTGGCATTAAGACTGTTGAAGGTAAATGGTTTGCATCCAGGTAATTTAAAAGCAGAAGCATCTGAACCTGAATGTTTAGCTCCCTTTACATTATAGACGGTACTGTGGGGACTCTTATACACAATAGACTTAGATATTTCAAAGTTTTGAGGAGTTTCCTTGAGGTCTTCAAAGTTTTCATAACTAAGAATTTCTGGTTCTTTTAAAACCATCGATCTCTCTCCAGAATTAAGAGAAGTATCTACATTTGTGTCACTAATCGGAGGCACACAATCTTTATCTTGTTCAGCCTGAGATGATGGAAGTAAAACTACATCTTCCCACTCAGCCAACATAGGTAAACAGTCAAAAGTATAGCCCACTTCTCCATTAGAAACAACATTAACAGATGGAATGGTCGTAGATACAAGTACCAAGTTGGAGTTAAGTGCTGAGGACTTTGATTTGTCATTCAATGCAAGCTGTTCACTTTTTCTTTGCTTCTGCATCAAAGTGGGGGAACCCAGTTGTTCCCCAAAAGTTGAGGGCTTAGTAGTACAAAGAGGAATGCAATGTTTGTTATTGTGAAGATCCACTTTAGTATTACTCTTTAGTTGTAATTGTTCCTTTATAGACGAATTCATACAAACTAAATTCATTTGAGCATCTTCCTGGGTATTTACTATACTTTTGGGCTCCTTCTGATATATGCTGGGACCCTGGATGCTAACGTTGCAGGCAGATGTTTCTTCAACTTGATCTGTACCCAAATTTCGCACCAAAATCTTGGGATTCTTCTTAGTGAGAACCTATGATTCCACAGACAAATCCACTGCTTTAGAAACTGTATAATTTCTTCAGTAGACATTATATATGACAAAAAAAAAAAAAAAAAAAAAAAGAAATGCAACTGGTTTGAAATCAACATTTTAATGAACCTATGACTACTACTCTAGAGCTCAAAATGACAGAAGAGGCAAGACACACTAACCTTGTTCAAGGACCTGGTAATTTTCATTAGGCAACCGTCCCTGATCATTTTCCAAGCAAGAAGAGCAGTGTTCCGAGAATCATCTAAGCCTGAGGAAATAAAAGTATCAAACACTGAATGTCGTGGTACTAACAAAGAAATAACAGAAAACAAATCACATTTAAACAGAAATTGGGGCATATTCTTCATTTTATGATCACCTACTGAATAAAGAAAAATCATAAATTGGTCTGTGGGAAGGTGTGACAGCATTGCCAATGCAAGATGCCTTGTATTTACACAGGTGAAAATTTGTTAGACAGCTTCCAAACTTGTGACCAGCATTCTGTACAGACCATCATTTGTTCAGTTTTTTTCACTAGTCCATCAGATTATCTGGGCGCTTATGTTTCTGTTTGATGTGCTTATTATTTATTTATTTACTTTTAAACCAACTAGAACCACTCCCTGGTTCTTTATCTAAATTCAAGGAAGTGGTCATTCAGCTGGGCGGCCAGGTGGCGATGGAGCTCACCTTTAATCCCAGCACTTGGGAGGGAGAGGCAGGTGGATCTCTGTGAATTCAAGGCCACCCTGGACTACAGAGTGAGTTGCAGGACAGCCAGGATTGTGACACAGAGAAACCCTGTCTCAGAAAACCGGGGAAAAGGGAAAAAAGAAACTGGTAATTCAAAAATCAAAAGTAATTTGAGTTATATAGGTTAGGAACATTTTTTAGGCTGAAAGGTTTTAATAATGGCACTACCCCTAAATGAAACTAATATGAGAGATTTTACAAAACTCAAATGACTTACATAACAAAATGATTATCAGTTTATACGAACCAGAATGTTCCCGTCCTGAAAATTCTATTCCCACTTCCTGCAAGGCGCCATTTAGTCCTTTGGGTTTTCTCTTATAAAAAAGCTAGTCAAATAAAAAAACAAAAAGACACATTAAAAAATAAAATGACTATTATAGAGGCTATGAAGTTATTTCTCATAACTTTTAGTTCTATCAGATTTGGAATTTATTACCGCTGTGCTGTCTCATATATTTTAAGATATATATTTATGTGAACATTCCAAAATAAGAATATCTTATTTGTAGAAACTTGCACCAATAAGATAAAATGCAGCCACCTTTCACCAGAAACAAAGTGAACACGCTCCCATCTTTGATCTTACCTTGTAAGTTGCTCTAAGATCAATCCAGGAGTTTAGGAACACGGGTTTTAAGAGCTGCTTTCTTCTACACTCATACTCTAGGCAAACCCCCAAGTCCCAGTCTGAATTAAGGGGATTCGAACAAAGGACAGTGATGTCAGCGCTTCTCCACTTACAAATAAAATATACAAAACATGATACAGTAGAGCAGTAAGAGTTAACTGCTATGCTAATAACTAATGCTCATGTGTTCTATATTACTTTACACCTCATAGAACTCTCCACTAAGAAATTAAGTTGGTGACTGTTTCCAAATAATATCTTCCGTGTGTGTGCAGGTTCCTATGTGTGTGGGTGTGCATGTGTGCTGGTGCGAGTGAGTGGGTGTGCAGTTCCGAGGACAGCCTCAGATGATTCCACAAGTGCCACCCATCTCATTTTGAGACAGGGTTTCTTATTGGCCTGCAGAATCATGATTTTAAAAGTATGAATGAATTTGCTTTTCTTGGTTAGCATCTGTGTGGCCCTTGATTTTCTTTCCCATGTCAATGAGGTCAACAAGAATAATTCTAGGATAACAAGAAAAAACTAGAAATAAAGGACTACACTGTGGTAATACTGCTGCTTTTTTGGTAAGTGGGGTGGTATATGTATACATGGTATGTATGTGCCACATGTTCACAAGTGTGGGGGTGCGGGTGTGTGTGTATATGCACATGTACATATATGCAGAGGTAAGACTGACATCAGGAATTTCCACCTCATCTGTTGAGGCAGGGTTCCTCACTGAGCCTAAGACTTGCTGTTTTAGCTGTGTGGCTAGCCAGCTTGCTCTGGGGATTCCTTGTTTCTACCTCATATCCTTGATTACAGATAGGCCACTGTGCCCATGTGGCTTTCACATGGGTTCCGAGGATCCCAACTCTGGTCCTCATGATTGTGTAACAAGCACAGTATCTGCTGAGCCACCTCCTCAGCCTCAATGCTACCCATTGTGATTTATAGTCATAACTCATGTTTTTACCTGACCAAGTAACAAAAGCACACAATTTTACTTCAGAAGAAGGCTCTGAATCCCCAGTAGTAAAGACAATTTTCTTCTGCTGCTGAATCTTATGAATCCATTTACAGAACTGAGATAAGCAAATCTTCAGAGGGACTCCTTCATCAACTTGAACCTGATTTGAGAGCCACAAAATCTGAAGTCAACAAATGAATTTCTGATATTGAGCATTTATTACAGCTCTGCACTATGGGGGGACAGAACAAAAAGAGTTTATCTCCTATAAAGACATTAAGATGTATAGTAAGATGTAATTCTGTGGTGACTTGAATTCACCAAGGTCAGAGAAACGAGGCTGGTACATGAAAGTTTCACAGAAGTATAATCTTTAAGTTTACTCTCATAGAAGTAAAACACTGAGTTTCATTACTCTGTAAAATAAACTCTCTCTTTCTGGAGTTCAAACCCTGGGCTTCATGCACCCTAGATAAACATCTCACACTGAGCTACAACCCTTGACCTTTATGTTTATAGCATTATTCTGATTTTTTTCAAGAGTCCAGTGGACTTTCGGGGGGACATTTTCTCTTAACATTGAATAAATTTAATTCCCAGTAGTATATAGCTTTTATTTTTCTTTTTGAAACTGATTTCTGAACTTTTAAAATTTGCATCATACCTGCTTTATCCCTGTAAGTTCTGTGCAAAATTCAGAAAGGATTGGATGTTCTTGAGGCTGGACATAAGCATGAAACTCAGATTCAATCTCTCCAGTTGCTGTACTCAACAAAACTGCTGGAAATTCAACTAATGAAAGAATCATGGATTAACACTTAAATACATTTATTTGTTTGTTTGTTTGTTTGTTTGTTTGTTTTGAGTCAGGGTCTCAATATGTAGTCCTGGGAATCTATATAGATCAGTGGTTCTCAACCTGTGGGTCAGAACCACTTTTTGGGGGGGGTAAAACAACCCTTTCAAAGGGGTCAAATATCAGATATTCTGCACCTCAAATATTTACATTATAATTCATAACAGCAGCAAAATTACAGTGATGAAGTAGCAACAAAAATAATTTTATGGTTGGGGGTCACCACAACATGAGGAATTGTATTAAAGGGTCGCAGCAGTAGGAAGGTTGAGAACTACTGATATAGACCAAGCTGGCTTCAAATTCATAGAGATCCACCTGTCTTTGCCTCCTGAGTGCTGGGATTAAAGATATGTACCACCACACCCAGCCTGAATACACAAATCATCCTAAACATGCACTGCTTTCATAACAGCATTATTAAATAATCAATTCCAGTAAAAGCTTATTAGAATAACCAAAGCCGTGAGAAACAAAATTATAATAAAGCTATATTATTATCAAGGAATAAGTCAAAATATCAAAGTTATGTATCTATTTAGTTTCACAATTAAATATGAAGACTACATGAGCGTTAAAATGTACTCTATTATTGCAAAGCCATTGTTTTCCAGTTTCTATCCAATCAAAGTTTTAAATATAATCTTAAAACAATTAGCTTCTTTGCATGATCACATTCAGGTATTTGGCATTTTATCCTATTTTTAGGCCAGACAGTTTTTGTATTAAACTGCCAGTTTACAGCATTCTGTTTTCGTATTGGCTGATTCATATCTAGAAACATTCATATCTAGAATGAGAAGACTCATTGAGCACTAGCTTTAGCCACTGGCAGTCCAAACTTACTTATTTCAGGGCTATTGTGGTGTTTCCCATCTTTCCAGCATGTAGACTCAAAATCAATGACAATTAAGTAGTCATACGTCTGTTCTGCAAAAGACCAGAGTATCTTAGGCTTTGTCCATGTTCCAAACCCAAGGCTTCAAAATGAAAACTAAACATGGGACTTACTGAATCTGCTTCTTCCTGGATTCCCACTTGCTGGTGCAACTGACTTTCTCCTAATTAATCCAAGCCGCCTAAAAATGCAAAATCCAATAAGATCAATAAACACATTTATACTCCAGCTAGAACAAGCTCTCAAACTAACAGCACCGAACAAATGGCACAGTCCTCATTAGTGTACTGTAACTGGAGTTGGGTGTGGGGCACACACCTGCAAGCTCAGCGCTCAGCAGGCCAAGGCAGCACTGAGCTTAAGAAGAGCTTGGAGCTCATAGCAAGACCCTGTCTCACACAGCAGCTGTATACTGACTGGGGGAAGCTAGAGCTAGACTTTACAAGATCCAGGTTCTTGTGGTAACTGCCATCCTCTCTTGGGTGTCCATTTTACGTGCATGGGTCAAGTGACTTGGCAAATACCAATTTTATCTGTTCTCATTTTATAGCAGCCCTGAGGAACTCAAACGACTGTAAATATGACTAAAAACCTTCAGCTATTTTTGTACTTTTCAAGGCCTTGCTTATTTTCTCAGGAGATGATGCCTGTTCCTAAAATCTAGGGGAGGTAGTAAGACAACCAGAGTACAACTGGAAGGCAATCTATGATAAAGGACCCCCAATAGCAAGATACTGAGTCCAAAGAAGGAAAAAGGGTTAACCATGGTCTCATATGCAGGTGAGACAAAAATCTGTTGCATACAGCTTTAACGAGAGGATACCTGGAGTAGTTACTTTGGCTTTTTGAAAAAGACAAGAAGTGATGCCAGTGTCGGGATTTGGGTTAAAAGCTAACATTTATTGGCTATTTCACCAGCAAATATTAAACTAAGGTGGTAACTTCTTTTAAACAATTCCAGGTGGTAGATATGTCTGTAACCCTTATTTTATGCATGAGAAAACTAGGCAATTTGCTAAAGATAGCTATAGTGTGTTAACCTTTGGTAGGACTCGCCAACCCTGAAATCCATGCTATTTACTAATACATCACATAGCTTTTCCTTTGTTTTGGATTTAGTTTTATTGTTGTTTTGAGATAGTCTAGCTATGTAGCCCCGGCCTGCCAGAACATGACCACCAACCACGCTGGCCTCGAATTTGCTTCGCTGGTATTGTAGGCGCGCTCCACTATGCCTGGCATTGACACCCTGGGTCAACAAACTTCACATGTGCACAGCGTCTCCAAAAATCAGAGTCCGCAGGAGTTCTTACAATAAAATCAGACTAGGTAGGTCACGCGGACGCAATGGGTGCAGTGGCACCTGCCTGAGGACCATCTGCACAGCACCGTCGTCCCATTCCAGGCGTTTCCCAGAGCCTAGCAGGAACAGATCGGACACAGCGCGCCGCTCGGAGAGAACCCGGTCCCTCGGACTCCTGCAACCTGGCGTGGATGGCGGCGTGAGGCCCGAGACCGAGGTTCCACCCCGGGCCTTTCCAGACCCAGACACAACGGCTGCGGAAGACCGCCGCCAACCCTGCGGGGGAACCCCTAGCGTACCGCGCCAGGCGCTTGGTCGCCATGCCCGACACTCCGTCCTCTCAGTCCAACCGCCGGAAGTCGTCTGCCCTCACTTCCGGTCCGTTTAAAAGCCGGCGCGGCTGAGCGGGCCGGAGCGTTCAGAGCGGCAGCGGCGGTCGTCCGCGATCTGTGAGGCCCGCCTGGGGCGGTTCCGGACCGGCAGGGCGTAGACCGAGGCTGGAGGAGGGCGAGCAGCTTCGCTCCGCCCCCGACGTGCTTCAGGTAGCATTTCGAAGTCCGCGATGCCTTCGTTTGGGGTGCCGTGGACGCTGAGGCCTCGCTAAGGGAAATGTCTGCGAGGGCAAAGCGCGGTAAACCGGTTTGATCGGCTTCGAGGGAGAAAGTTATAAACCGTCACTCTTTCCCAGCGATCCGCTGGAGAGAAGCGGAGGCGTGGTTTCCTGGACCCTGCGGGGTCCTCAGCTCCAGCTCATCCTTCCCTGCAGCCTGATGGAGCTAGAGACGGAGACGATCTCCAGGAAGAGGAAGGAGGCCCCGACCTCGGCCCTGGCGACAGAGCTGGGTAGGTCTCTGTGGGATCTTGAGGACACGCTGCCTAAAGCCAAGGTGAGCAAAGGAGAGCCCCAGCAGGCGGCCTGAAGTCGTTTATGGCTCAGAGTCACTTGCCCCTGCAAAAGGATCAGGGCTCACCATCTGACTGCACTGAACCCTGTTTTCTGATCTGTAAAATAGTGAGAACTTAGGAGCCAGGCGGTGGTGGCGCACGCCTTTAGTCCCAGCACTCGGGAGGCAGAGACAGGCACGGATTTCTGTGAGTTCGAGACCAGCTTGGTCTACAGAACGAGTTCCATGACAGCCGGGGCAGTTACACAGAGAGAACCCTGTCTCAAAAAAACCCCAAAACCATCACCAACAAAAACCACAAAACTGATTTAAATGTCAGGTACACAGAATATTTATTAAGGTCTGTGTAACAGGAAATATTCTAGGAATATCCTTGTACACCTAAACAGAATTCTCTGCTTCCATACAATTTGCATTCCTATTGAGCAGAAGTAAAGCTGATGACAGAAGTGATAGTCTTCTCTTGGAGTTTTGTGTATGACTTTTTGATTAGTCCCATTGTTGGTGTTATTAACCTTGATTACTTAAGATAGTAAGATGGTGTCTACCAAGCTGTCTAAACTCTCGTTGTAATTTTGTAGAGGACTCTTTTTCACCACTTCAGTTTATCAATATGAACTCACAGGGAATCTGTTTTGCTCCTTAAGCTATCATCTGTTCATTTATTTTTCGGTTCTGGGTATTGGATCTAGAACCTTGTGCACTATATACAAGTACTCTACACTTGAACTACACACGCACGCGCGCGCACACACACACACACACACACACACACACACACACACACACACCTGCACCTTTTTTTGATGCTGTTTCACTAAGTTATGAAGTTCGGCCTTCAATTTGCTCTGTGGCCCAGTAGGTCTTGAACTTGTGATTCTCCTGCCTCCTCAGTAGCCAAGATTACAGTCCTACACTACCAGACTTTACTATTTATTCTTTTAATTATTATTTTACGCTGTTGGTATTTTGCCTATATGCATGTCTGGGCACTATGTGCATGCCTGATGATGCCTGAGGCGGCCAGCAGAGGGTGTTGAATCGCCTGAAACAGGAGTTGTAACTGATTTTGAGTCACTGTATGGATGCTAGGAATTGAAGTGGGTCCTCTGGAGGAGCAGCCATTGCTCTTAACTGCTGAAATCTCTCTCCCTCTGGCTATTTATTCTGATGCTCTAATTAGCCAAGATTTGATCATTAACTAGCTTTTGTGTTATGACATAGCTGTATCACTCTGAGAATGTTACTGCTTTCTGGTGAGAAGGTGCATCTGCTTTCTCTATCCTGGACCCCTGGAATCAGCCTGGTTCTTCTTAGTGAAGAATGACATTTGTAAATTTAAAATGGGGGTATTATAGATGGCTTTATTCTACCAGGATGTCAGTAGTCCCAAAAGATCATGTTAATGGGTATGCCTGTGTATTTGTAAATATATACAAACATGCATTTACGTCTAGTTTCCTGAATTCACAGTAAATGTGTGCTTTCCAATCAATTTATTTCTAGTCAGAAGTCTTTGTAGTTTCTCCTTTTTTTTTTTTTGTATCTGCAGCTTCCTTTTCTGATAGAACTACAACTCCTATTATTTTTAATCACTGTCACCACCTCTTGTTCCCACATCTTTGCCCTGCTCAGATCCAGATCAAATACATTTGAAGAGCCCTCATTATTGTAACAGGCTCTGCCAGCATCCCTGTTACATAGACACTTACCCTGTTCAGGCTCTAAATCCTGTACTAAGCCACTACCACACTTTCAGCATACCATAGCTCCTAACATCCACTGCCAGGCCAAAGTGTATTCCCCTTCACAATAATGGATTGCCTCCGGCTGTTCAGGTACCGTCCTATGAGGATATACTAGGCTTCTGTTCATAGTCTGATCTTTCTCATGAGACATCCTTCTTACTCTACTTAGGATCTTAGTATCCAATGCCTAGGAACAATAATTGTTTATTACCATATATAGACCTCTATCTTGCTCAGTCTTTATCAGTTTCATACAGTTTGGCTTAAAAGATAAGTCAAAATTAGCAGTATTTATAAAGAAGTAAAATATGTATGGACATTTTAATGGGAAATTTATCCTGGGGAAATAAGTAGATAGATAAATAATGATATCAATAATAAGAATGTTCATCCTAATATTTGTATTTTTAAAAAATATTTCACCAGCCAGGCAGTGGTGGTGCACGCCTTTAATCCCAGGACTCGGGAGGGAGAGGCGGGTAGATCTCTGTGAATTCAAGGTCAGCCTGGTCTACAGAGCAGAGTTCCAGGGCAGCCAGGGCTACACTGAGAAAACCTGTCTCAGAAAAAAAAAAAAAAAAAAAAAAAAGTTTCACCAAGAAGGAGTTTTTAGTATAAAGTTTTTATTATACATTTTAAAATGTATTTCTCCTGAACCATTTTCACATGTTAAAATTGGTATTCTATAACTGATAGGGAAAAAATACAGATTTTTTACAAAGCAAAAATGGATGTTTGTAAAGTCCCTTAGGGAAGTGTAGTACAGAGATGAAAGAGCTTGGTCTTTGGAGTTTGCATTCCAGTTGTGGTTCTATAAGCTATTACTTCTTTTCTTTGTTGTCAAATGGAAATGATGGTAGTCTTCACTTAAAAGTTATAAGAATTAAATAAGTTATCACAAATAAATTTCTCAAAACTTTGACTAGGGGCTGGTGATGTGGCTGAATAGTAGAGCACTTGCCTTGCATGTTCCCTGAATTCAATCCCTAGTACAGCCTCCTTAAAAAGTGAATATTCAACATTGGCTTAAAGCCATTGTATAAATTAGGGTTTCCATTGCTGTAATAAAACACCATGATTCCATGACCAAAAGCAGCTTGGGGAGGAAAGGGTTTATTTCAGTTGCATGCCCAGATCATAATCCTTCCTTCACTAAGGGAACTCAGAGTATAAGAACCAGGAGGCAGGAACTGATGCAGACACCAGGGAAGAGTGCTGCTTACTGGCTTGCTCCTCAGGACTTGCTCAGCCTGCCTTCTTACACTGTTGAGGACCACCTGCAGGAGGCAGGGCACCACCCACAATGAGCTGGGCCTTCCACACTGCTCTTCAATTGACAAAATAGCCACAGGCTTACCTTCAGGCCTGTCCTATAAAGGCATTTTCTCAGTTAAGAGTCCTTCCTCTCAGAAGACTAGCTTGTGTCATGTTGACATAAAACTAGCCAGCACAGCTATGAATTAGCAGTAATATCTGATATTTATTAAGTACTTAAGGTGTGTTGGTGGCTAGCACTGATATGTTGCACCAGCAGTCTCTTATCAGATCTCTCAATAATCTCATGATATAGAATTATAGTTACTCTACAGGTAAGGAAGCTGCGTCTTAGAATGGTTACGAAATTTGTTCAAGACATTGGAAGTCAGATAGTATGATGCTTGAACTCCTAACCATAATATTCTGCTGTTTCCCAGGGAAAAAATGAAAATAATAATCTCTGAGTTATATAGGTGTTTGTCTATTATGTATTTATTTCACCTTTTTATATTATCAAAGCTCTTTTGTAAAAAAAACAAGAACCACCTTAATAATCAGGCATAAGTTCAAAACCTTTTATATTTTTAATGGACAAGTATTTAAATCTATTTATAAAATTTGGCCTATTAAATAATACTAATAAATTGTCAAAATTAACTAAAGCTTTGGTTTTAGTTAGATGTACTCTTTTTGGAAAAACATTCATCATCCATTCATCATCTCCTTATAAAATAAGTACTTGACAAAGCCTTTTTAAAGCAAACAAGGAGCTTCCTTAAATTTTCTGTAACCATAGTATAATTCGGATTCTGATAGGTTAGATGTCACTGATTTGTGATTTGGTTACCTTGTCCCAATTGTAATACTGCCACAGCTTGCAATATGAAATTTTGGCTCCAGCCAAGCCATACTAGATGGCTTGACCCCAGAGTTTAAAGAAGCCTTCACTAAAACTCTGAACCAGTGGTTCTTAACCTGGGCTTGAATGACCCTTTCATGGGTGTCACTTAAGACCATCTGCATATCAGATGTTTATGATTCACAACAGTAGCAAAATTACTTTTATAAAGTAGCAATGAAATATTTTATGGTTGGGGGTTACCACAATGCGAGAAACTGTATTAAACGGTCACAGCATTAGGAAGGTTGAGCACCACTGACCTAAACCCTAGGGCAAATACACCCTTGCTCCTCTGTAATTATAATAGCACTGACCCCTGCAGTGTTAGAATTACCCATCCTATATTCCCTAAATGGAGTAGAGTTCTTGAAAGCATGAATGGAGTTGTAATCATCCTCCTATTTTTAGCACACTGACATGCATAATACAAAACTTACCAATGTTTATAAAATATTCTAATGACATCATACCACAAGTGGCTCTCTTAGACCTTTATTTTCAATTAATTAGAACAGTCTTTGTGTTGATATGTATGTTAAAATAATCAGAAACTTGAATAATTGCCTTTTTGCCATTCGTGAGCATTTGGTATGCTATATTCTAATTTGTCTTTGCAGAAAACTTGCTGAAAATTTATTTGCTGAAAATTATGAAGTAACCCATAGACAGCTGTGTGAGTTGCTGAAGTATGCAGTTCTGGGTAAATCCACTGTTCCTAACCCCAGGTATGAGATAAACTATGCATAGACCAGAGGTTTCAAACTGGTTTGTAGCTTAATGACATTTGTTAGCCATGTAGAGTATCCAGTTTTGTTTTTTGTTTTTTGTTTTTTTAATTAACAGCTGTCAATAATTATTTGGGAATTTCTGTTTAAAAATCCAGATTGGTGATTTCTTCAAAAAAACTTAAAAATTTGGCAACCATCTCTGTGCCACCTGGTATACCTACTTTATTCATTTATTTCTGTCTGACTACTGTAGCTTGCTTCCCCTACTGTGGACTTGATAGAAATTTCATTAATTATTGTTTTTTATTATAAATTAATACTATCTTAATAATTCTGGATAGTCTTTTACTTCTCTTATAGTTAAAATAAGGAATGATATTGTTTGAATGCTGTCAGTGATACTAATGACTTATGAAAATTATATTTTTATATCTGTCTTATTTAGGGCTTCTATTGCTATGATGAAAACCATAACCAAAGCAACTTGGGGAGAAAAGAGTTTATTTGACTTATACTTCCACATCACAGTAAATCACTGAAGGAAGTCAGGATGGGAACTCAAAACAGGGCAAGAACCTGGAGGCATCATGGAAGAATGCTGCTTATTAGCTTGTTCATCATGACTTGCTCAGCCTGCTTTTTTATAAAACCCAGGACCACTAGCCCAGGGATGGCACCACCCACCATGGTCTGGGCCTCCCCCATTGATCACTAATTAAGAAAATGCTTATGGAGGATCTTAATTAAGGCATTTTCTCAATTGAGGATCCCTCCTTTCAGATGACTCTAGCTTGTGTCAGGTTGAAAAAAACTATCCAGCACAATACCCATCGAGAGATTAGTAGATGCACACATTTCCCTGAGGCAGTTGTTATAAATTGTCTAGATTTTTCACCAGCTTCTTTGTCAAGAAATACTGCCATCTGGCAGGGCCTAGTGGCATATCTCAGCACTCAGTAGGCAGAAGCAGGCAGATCTCTGTGAGTTTGAGGCCAGCCTGGACTACATAATGAGTTCCGAGACAGCCACGGCTATGTAGAGAGACCCTGTCTCAAAAAAAAAAAAATAAAAAAATAAAAAATAAAAGAAGGAAGGAAGAAAGGAAGACTGCCATTAGTCTGAAGTCAGCCATCATTTGATGTGCTGGTTTAGGAAGGGTTTCAGAATATGTTGGAGATAAACCTTTGTAAAATGAGCTCAGAGTTCTGATTTAAAATAAATGTTCAGGTGGAAGGAGAGAATCAGCTGCCATAAGTTGTTTTCTAACTTCCACCCTGTCATACATAAAATAAGTATAATTAAAGCTTTAAATAAACATTAATAGGACAATGCATTTATTAATAAATGTATTGCATTTCACTTGACATTTGATTTTATTATAACAAATATTTGTCACAAAGATTTTTTTTTTAAGGTTTATTTATTATGTTCTGCCTGCATGTGTCTTTGCAGGCCAGAAGAGGGCACCAGATCTCATTACAGGTGGTTGTGAGCCACCATGTGTTTGCTGGGAATTGAACTCAGGACCCCTAGAAGAGCAGCCAGTGCTCTTAACCTCTGAGCCCTCTCTCCAGCCCTATCACAAAGATTTTTATTTGAATTCTTTTAGTAAGGACTGTCTTCCAGTTATAGAGTTATACAGAGTCAGTGGTTGGTGAAAAGTTGTATTAGCTGTCAGTCATTCTGTTTCCTGTTTGTCTTCTGTGTGCCTGTAACTGTCTGAGAGTATCATCTTAGCTGTGTTGAATTTTACATTTCCTTTTGTTTTGCTTCTCTGTCTCCATTCTGCATGGCTCATTCCTTTTACTCTTATAAATCTCTATTCAGATACCACTTGATCAGAGAGACCATCCCTGACATATAAACATGACAATGGCCATTTTCCTTGTCCAGTAATCCCTCTTCCTCCTCTCCTTTTACCTGTAGTTCTTATCCCTACTTGATATATTGAATATTTATTTATTTTTATTTATGTTTATAAATGAACACTTATTTCATTATTCATTGTCCATCTTCCCAACTGGAACTTAAATTCCACAGCAAATTTTATTGTATACATAGCTAGAATAATGCGGATAAGCACTCATATATTTTCTTGATTGAATTAGTTTATATTTAACATTTCTTTTGTATACTTTCCTATCTCTTTGGCCCTCTTACTGCATAGGCTTTAGTTGAAATATTTTTTGCTAATATTACTGTAACACCTTTCTAGTTTTGCTCTGCTCTATTTTTCACAAGTATTTGAGGTTAATATTTCTTAAGATACTCTTTATATTTTGTTGCTTCCCTTATCAGAAGCTTTTATTGTTCTCCACTATATATTGAGTGATGAAAAGTTCAAATTCTTGACCCTGGCATACCAATGGTGTATCATTTATCTCCACTCTCAACTTGACTCATAGATTTGTTTCTTTCTTACTGAACTATCATTGGCAAGCCAAGTTCTGTACATTCTTGTCTAACTTGGTGTGCCCTCTTCTACTGTGTTGGCTTTTGGGACTGTAAGGGCCAAATGTCTGTCTTAATCAAAAAGGATAGTGTTTGGAGGATACATGTTGACTAGAAAGCCATCTGCAAGCTAAGTGCCTCCAGTGAAGGAACTGTCTGTCCCTTTTCATAGCATCAGACAGATGAAGTTTTCAAAGTGGTTGGTTCGCTTTATATTTTAGTTAAAATTCTAGACACAAGCGAGTATGATCAACATAATTACCATCGTCCCATTTCAGAATGCAGTCCCACTTAAGAAGGTCCATGTACTTAACATATTCACTGATCTCCCCTGGTTAAGGGCTGGTGTTGCTTGAGTAGATGGCAGGAGATTTAAGTAGATGAAGAGAAAACGAGCTGTTTGAATGGATAGGCACCAAAACAGAGGTCTAACATACCAACTATTTCTATTCTGCCTTCTCAAGATTTGGCACCTTGTTTCCTATCTTTAAGTATCTTTGACCACATTAGATCTGAAGCATATTCTTCCTTGACCTTCTATAAAAAGCTTTATCGTTTTTAACACATAGGAAACTAACACTGACCAAATACCTGCTAATAAAGATAATTGCAGGAAGGCAGACTCTGAGTTTATGTTGGTAAAAAGGAGCAAAGACCTGATTGTGGGAAGGAGATTTTTTGACTGCATAACTGTTTTCTCACATAACTAGAAGAAGTTATCAATATACCTCAAATGCATAGGGAAAATTGTGCCAAATAAATGATCAATCACACTGCTAAAAGCTTTTGGGAGCTGAATCCTAAGTTTGTAACAGATGGAAAGGCTACAACTTCACACAAGAAATTCGATGTAGGAAACAGCCAGTACATTCCAAAGGTAATAACACCAAACGCCTTCCATTTGGGTTTAACTCCTCCATCAGAATCTGATTCCATTTGACTCTGGTGGGTTGACCTTTTGAATACTAGTTGTCACCTGCTGTATACTCCCATGGCCTTTTGCTGCCAGAAGCTCTTAATAAGTTTCTCTCCATTTAGGTTGATGATGTTGCCTGTGAACTTGGTGTAAATTGCCTTTATTGTATTGAGGTTTGTCTCTTGTGTCCCTAGTCTCCCCAGAACTTTTATCATGAAGGGATATTGGATTTTGTCAAAGGCCTTTTTCTGCATCTAAAGAGATGATCATGTGGATTTTTGTATTTCACTCTGATTATTTGGTAGATTATGTTTATCAATTTATATACATTGAACTATCCTTGCATCCCTTGGATGAAGTGTACTTGATCATGGTAGGTGATCTTTTTGATGTGTTCTTGTATTCTGTTTGCAAGTGTATTACTGAGAATTTTTGTATCTGTATTCATAAAGATTAGTCTATTTTCTTTCTTTCTTGAGTTTTTGTGTGGTTTAGGTAGCAGGGTAATTGTAAAAATTGTGTAAAAAGAGTTAGGAAATGTTCCTTCAGTTTCTATTTTGCAGAAAAATCTGGAAAATATTGGCATTAATTCTTCTTTGAAGGTCTGGTAGAATTCTGTGCTGAATCCGTCTGACCTTGGGCTTTTTAGTGGCTGAGAGACTTTAATTGCTGTTTCTGTTTCACTAAGGGTTATAGGTTTGTTTAAATTGATTATCTGATCTTGATTAAACATTTATAGGTTGTATACATCAAAAAATTCATCCTTTTATTTTTCCACTTTGGTGGAGTGCAGATCTGTAAAGTATGTCCTTAGGATTCTCTGGATTTTCCTGGTGTCTATTGCATGTCCCCCTTTTTGTCTCTAGTTTTATTAATTTGGATCTTCTCTGTGTGTCTTATAGTTAATTTGGCTAAGGATTTATCATTCTTACTGTTTTTTCTCAAAGAAACAACTCATTCATTTTTTGTATTGTTTCTGTTTTCTTGATTGTAGCCTTGAGTTTGATTATTTTTTGCTGTATACTCCTCTACTTCTTTTGGGCATTATTCTTTTTGTTTTAGGACTTCCAGGTGTGCTGCTAAGTTGCTAATATGAGATCTCTCCAAACATTTTATGTAGGTACTCAGTCCTCTATGAATTTGCCTCTTAGAACTGCCTTCTTTGTTCTGTACATTTAGTGTTTTGATTATTATGTGTTGTGGGGAATTTTTTTTTCTGGTCCTGTCTATTCAGTATTTTGTATGCTTCTTTTACCTTGATAGGCATGTCTTTCTTTAGGTTGGGGAAATTTTCTTCTATAATTGTGTTAAGAATATTTTCCATCTCTTTGGCCTGAGTTTCTTCTTCCTTTATTTCTATTATTTGTAGCTTTTGTCTTTTCATGGTGTCCCAGATTTTCTATATGTTTTAGGTCTATCTATCTATCTATCTATCTATCTATCTATCTATCTATCTATCTATCTATCTATTCATTCATTTATTTGATTTAACATTTTCTTTTACTAAAGTATTCTACCCTGTTTTCAACACCTGAGTTTCTTTTTTCCATATCTTGTAATCTGTTGGTGAGCCTTATTTATGAGGTTTTTGTTTGACTTTCTAAATTTTTCATTTCCAGTTTTATTTCAGTTTAGGTTTTCTTTAGTGATTCAGTTTCTTTGTTAGATTCTACTTCCATGTTGTAAATAGTTTCCATTACTTCATTCCACTATTTGTGTTTTCACAGACTTCATTAGAGGATTTATTCCTATACTCTTTATGGTCTTTGAACATACTCATACTTTCTGCTTTAAAGCCTTTATGCTTTAGTCATATTGCATTTCTCAGGACCTACTATAGAGTTCCTGGGTTCTGGTGGAGGCATATTATCTTGACTATTAATTATTAGGTCTTTGTGATGCTATTTTGGCATCTGAAGTTAGAATGATTGAGGTGATACTAGGTGTTGATGTTTTTGTTGGGTGATTTTTTTTTCCATCCTTGGTTTCTGTTACCCTCTCTGAATCTTAGGTAAGTCTGTCTGCTGCCTAAAAGAGTATGCTTCTGAAGATCAGTGTGTCGGAGAGGGGAATAGAAATAGAGAAAGAGGGAAGACAGATACTAGGAATGGCAGGGGCTTTTGAAACTGCAAGGCCTGCCCCCTATGACACACTTCCTCCAACAAGGCGACACCCCTAAGCTTTCAAACATAGTTCCAGCAACTGAGGACTAAGCATTCAAATATGAGCTTGTGGCAGCCATTCTCATTCAAACCATATACCCTGAGACAGCCATCAACCAATTTTCTTTTTATATAGATTTTACAGATTTACTTATTCTAGGTATTTTATATAAATGGAGTAGTGCAATGTGTGTGTGTGTGTGTGTGTGTGTGTGTGTGTGTGTGTGTGTGTGTGTGTTTAAACTGGTTTCTTTCACTTCATATGTATTCAAGTTTGATCTGTGCTGTACTCTGTATTGGTACTTCATTTCACTTGAGTTCCTGATGATAACCCAAGCATAATCATGTTGTAATGCATTTATTCATCATGTGGAACATATTTGAATTGTTCCTGTGTTTGGATTTTGTGAATAGTGCTGCTCTGAACATTTAGGTACAGGACTTTCGTGGCTGTGTACCTCGTTGTGTAATTGTTGGGCCACACGGCAGCTTTCTGACCTGTTTTGAGGAATTATAAAACGATTTGCCAAAACGGCTGCTATGCCATTGCACATTCTTCTTAGTAACGTGTGAGTGCTCTGAGTTCCACGCATCCTTACCAGTACTTACTATTATCTGCCTTTTCATATTGAGGCTGTGAAGTACTGCCTTGTGAGCTTCATCTGCAGTGCCCTGACAGCTGATGATTTTGAGCATCTTTTCATATATCTTTGGCAAATTATCTATTGGGGATCTTCGTCCAACTTTAAATTGGACTCTGTTTTTATTACTGAATTCCTGGAATTCTTTATTTATTTTGGATGTAAAAATTTACTTTTAAGTTAAAAGAACAAGCCATCTGTGAAATGGAGTTAAAATTTAGTTCATATATCATAGGATTGCCATAGGATTAAATCAGTTAATGTGGGCTGAAGAGGTGGCTCGGTGAGTAAGAGCACTGACTTCTCTTATGTGGAGACAGAGTCTAAATTGGAGGTCTCCATCAAATCCCTCCCCTCAGAGCTCAGGGAATCCCACAGGAGAAGAAGCAGAAAGATTCTAAGAGTCAGAGAGAGTGGTGTCTACCAGAAGAACAACACCTTCTGTTGAATCAACTAAGCAAGGCAAATATGAGCTCACAGAGATGGAAGCAGCAAACATGGCCTATAACAGATCCTCAGCATATATGTATGTACATATTATATATATATAAAATAATCATATATATAGTAGCTATTAGCTTAGTATTTTTATGATACTCCTTACTGCAAGAATGAGTGGGTCTCTGATTCTTGGGTCTGCCTTTTGGACTCTTTTCTTCCTTTTGGGTTGTTGTATCCAACTTCAATATGATAGCTTTTCCTTCATCATACTGTATTTCATGTTGTCATATTTGGTTGTTATCTCATAGAAATCTGTTCTTTTCTAATGAGAGGAAGAAAGTGAGTGGATCTGGAGGGGATGTGAAGAGGAACTTGGAGGAGTAGAGGGAGGGGAAATTATAATCAGGATATATTGTTGAAAAAATAAACTATTTTCAATAAAAAAAATTTTTAGCCGGGCGTTGGTGGCGCACGCCTTTAATCCCAGCACT